AATGGATTTCAGCCACAAATAATCTCAAGCCAGCCTCCAAGAGCCGGAAATTTCGTGGGTTGGTCCCCACTTGTGTGGGAGGTCACCCCTTTTTGTCCAGAAGTGCACAATCGGTCCCGAAAGTTGTATTTTTCGGACTGTTTTATTCATATTTTATTTTATCGGGCCAAATAAGATATAACATGCGTTCCTAGTTATTATAGGACTTTAGAATAGATGTACATTCCCCAACTTTAATTTAGTAGTGTCCGAAATTCATTTCAGACTGTTATCCGGTAAATTACCAATACTGGTATTTGGGCCTCGTTTGACCAACGGGTCAACTCTATGCTCTTTCTATGGGCCTACTAAAATATCCACCACCATATACATATCATCTAGACAATGATGAATATAATATGTGATCCTGGACTTATCGGGCGGTCCCCGTTCCCGGTGTGGGCCCCACGTGAAATTTACTATTCACGCAAAAAAATAATAAAAATTCACAATTCCGCAAATTCGTGATTGATTCATCAAGGTTTATTACATAATTTGCTAAAAAGTAAATCTGCTCAGGGACGGTGCTACAGAAAATCCCTTGGGTTTTCTAGTGTGGGATAAAACACACTAGAACCCCATCCTTTTTCCCAGTTTTTCCGTTTCAACGAGTGAACTTCAAGAATCAATTTCTCATTCACTCGTTATCCGTTTTGAGTGTACCACATTTCGAATTGTATCCCTTAACAAGGACAATCCGAAACCACTTTGACCCGACCCAAATAGGAAGTGGAACCCACTCAAATAATTGCCCAAAATGACCATTTAATGCAATTTTTAACACATTTTTCCAAAATCCCCCACATGATTAATTAAAATCTAACCATAACATCATCATTTTTTCTTGCTCTCAACATAATGTTTTTTGGAGTGCTTGCAACTAGTCCCGAGTTTTTTATCTTTTCCCTTTCCAATAATTTTAAAATGATCCCACACAGCTGAAGTAAGGGCTCTTTTCGTACCTATTTCTTTACTTCCATGAGTTCCATCAACTCGAGTAGATGCCGATTCAGAATTATCATGTGTGACTTGTGTTTGTTGAGCATCATCACATTCATTTGCACCTTGTGATTCAAATTCCATTGAGTGTACTCCTACATAAAACAAATTCATTTAATTACTTATGTGTAGTGTGCCTTATTTTATTTTCAAAAATAATTACATAATCAAATCATTAAATATAGGGAAATGGCTAAATAGAAATGCTGAAAAAAGATGTATAGTGAAGTAACTACTATTTAAATTCATTAGAGATGCCCTAAGAACTAAGAACTAGTCCAGATTTTACCTTTGTCTTGATGTATCATTGTATCTCTGAATTACTATACATTGTACTTTATTGAAATCTCCTAGGAAGTAAAAATTAGTCCAGATTTTACCTTTTTGACTTGATGTATCAATGTTATCGTTGTATTTCTCAATTACTATACAAAGAAGTATTACAAAGTACATATACATGGCTTAAAAGCTGAAATAATTAAAAAGGAAAAAATGGTGATTTATTGCTTTACTAAATTCATCGTGGGTATCATGGATTCATGGTTGCCTGATTGGGTGGTGCTTACTTTCTCATTTACTAAGTCTGATTTGGGAATCAAGAGAAAAAGGCCTTTTTACTCCAATATTACTAAAATGAATCAAAAAGATAAAATGTAACATGTTTTAAATTTTTTCAAAATTGTGACCGTCTTAATTAACCTTACAGCCCAAAGTGACTTCGATCGAAGTGACTCCAGCCACAATGACTGTTCCGCCGCCACAGTGATTGCCCCTCCGTCCACAGTGACTGTCCCACCGCCACTGTGATTGCCCCTCCGGCCACAGTGACTGCCCCTCCGGGCACAGCGACTGACTGATTGTCCCACCGCCATAGTAACTCCGCCCCGTCAGTGATTGTCGTCCCTGGCCAAAGTGACTGCCCCACCGCCACTGTTCACCCACCGACAACAATGCCCCGACCAGTGACTGTCGCCGCCATCACGATCAGTGACTGCCGCCCTCCTGTCGGTGACTACCGTAACTCCAGGCAGTGACTGCTGCCTACGGCCATTAACTGCCGCCTCACATTACACCAGATAATTTCTGGCGGCCATCTAGCCAACACCACCAACTACAGTCTCCGGCAAACCGAGACCTCCATGTCTGGCCAGTTACCTTCAGCACCGCCACCCCGCCGGCATCACCAACCCATCGCCACAGTTGCCATATACCCATAGCCATCCCCATCCACACACCCCAGCATCGAAAACTTCAGCCCATGCTCCGCTCCTTGACCTGCCCCAGCCACCCTCCCACCTCCTGCTCCACCCTCCCACCTCCTGCTCCAGCCAGCGCAGTCCCTCGTCCACCCCTCCCCATCCCCAATCAGCCCAACCTTTGCCGCTGCATAAGAAATCTTAACCACCGCCCAGCGCTATCGCCGGTGAAACATCCTAGCCCAACGCCACCCAGCGCGCTCACCGGCCGTGACGTCATCAAACGTCGCCCCCCTTCACCCCAACCTCGCCGTCGTGGCCTAACACCACTCCCACTACCAAGACCTAACCTTAGTCGACGCCGCCACTGATTCACGAATGAACTGCCACTACCCCGCCCCAAGACATCTCTGCCGGCAACAACATCCATCTTCGAGGGATTGATGAAGAAGGCCATTGACGACTAGATCTGGAACTTCGTCGCTCTGGTTGCAGCGAATGAGATCTGAAATTTGAATGTTCGCAAAGGAGATGGAAGTCATGAGCTGGGCAGAGGGTAAGTGATGAGGCGGATGGATGTTAGTAGGGGAGAGACAAATTGATGCGCAGGGATGGGCTGGGAGATGGTGTTCTGCTCCGGGGGAGATAGGAAAAAAACGGAAGGGGTGAGTTTAATTGGTCACTTAAAACAGAACCGAAATTAGTCATATTTTTGTCCAATGAAAGTTCAGGAGTGATATAAGTGCCATTCTTTCAGAGAAAAATAGCATAGGGCTGGCATTTTGGACCGAAAAACGAAAACCGAACCGAAAAAAATTGAACCGGTTTGAAAAAACACCGAACCGAACCGATATAATTTGGGACCCGAAAATTGGGACCCGAAAACAAAACGGTTCGGAATCGGTTTATAGTTCTAATGTGTCGGTTTGAACCGAACCGAACCGAAATTTTATTAATAATAATTATAAGAAATTTATAGTTAATTACCTTTATTTAATGTATATAAAATGAAATTCGGTCCAAAAGAAACCAACAAGGTTCCCCAAGAAGATGGTTGCCAAGCGAGTTGTTACCATGGACGACTCGTGTTCGAATCTCGGGGTCGCTTTATTTTTATTCAATGGTTCAATTTTGTTCGCTTGAGAATGTTGGGCAAAGTAAAATTGGGCTTGAGCTTCTAAAAACTTGGGTCTAGTGTGTTGAAAAGTTCAAATATTTTGTTTATCTAATGAAAGTCGGTTATTTTTTCGATTTTTGGTAATCCGAACCGAATTATCGGTTTCCGATTATTTGGTACACGTTTCTGAACGGTTCCAGTTTCGGTTACGATTATTTGGATAACCGAAATATCGGTTCGGTTTTGGGTTGACCTTAATCGGTTCGGTACCCGAACCGAGTCCAGCCCTAAAATAGCATACAAGTTCTCATCAAATATGCAAAAGCAGGAGGAGAAATGTCCATTTCCCTGCCCAAAAACACGAGACAAAATCAGGTCAATAATGCATCTGTCATCCGACTCTGTCTGCTCTCTTTGGAAATAGTGAATTATGCTTGCCATGGCTGGATAATGTAATATGTGTCATGGTTAAGTGGTTAAATACATGAATCATGAGGGGATAATAAAATTGCACATGGGATAAAACAGAACGTGACAGAGAGTCAATAAGCCATCACTGAAAGGTCACACTACTGCCTCTTGGTTAAAACGAAAAACTTACAGAGAGTACATTGTATAATGCTAACCAATATCAAGTGCTATATATACACCATGTGTGGTTATGATAATGGTGGATAAGTCTCACGATTCACAAAATTTAAGGATCATATGATTTAAAGCCAAAGTGTTTATAAACAAATGTTAAGTGTATAGCAGTTCAAGTTGTTCGATCAACAATAGACCACATATTTGGCTTCTTCATTTTCTCAATACAGATAAGTATTTCAATATACAGCTTTTTTTTTATATTTCCTTTACATAGTGAATAATATAATGTCTAATTGTCAATATCATCTAATTCACATTTCAGTTTCACCAAATGCACAATTCAGTTCCACATGATACAATCCAATGGTCCAGATTTATTTTGATTTCTCTCCTGGGAGTCCGTTCTTAACGGAACTGCTCCCTATTAGACATTCTCTTGTCCAGCAGGTTTTGGCCCGAACACTGTCCAACACCGCCGTTCGGGGCGGTTCCCGGTGGATTTTTTTGATGAAATTTTTATGGTATGTTCTTCATCAAGTCTAGTTTATCCACAAAACATTTCAGTTCAAAATTGGATCGGGAAGGTTGTCAAATCATTTTTGTAAGTTAACTGCACAAAATTATACATACAAAAACGCAGTCAACTTCCAAAAATTATTTGACGGCCTTCTCGATCGAATTTTGAGCCGAATTTTTTTGTGGATACGCTAGACTTGATGAAAAATATACCACAAAAATTTAATAAAAAAATTACACCAAGAACCTCCCCAAACGGGGGTGTTCGGACGGATCCTCAGGTCCGAACGTTCGGACCTGAGAATTTTCCTATATATATATATATATATATGTATATATATATATATATTAGGGATCAAATACAAACCCATCTTAATAACCTAACCTACAAACTAATCCAGACCATTCATTTAGTTCAGATTAGCATATGTTTCATGTTAACTGCTCAATTCAAACTAATTATAAGTAAGGGTGCTTTGGTCAATTACTCTTCTTTTATAATGGAACAAAAATCACGCTCATTACTTTTCATTCCCATAAATCGTCTATTTTCCGTTTCTTCTTTCATTCCATCTTTCCATTCGATCAAGGGTTTCATCTGTGCGATTATCTTCCTCCTCGAGATTATGAATTGCTCGAATTCATCTCCCCTCTCATCATTATCATCGAATGCCATGGAATCAGGTACCCCTATATCATTGATGAACTCCGTTTTCATACAAAAAAACTTTAGACGTATTATGCCTTGTGGTTGTTTGTGTTTCCTGGTCATGCATTTTTCTAATTTAATTGATTCGCATAACAGGTTGATGTTATCCTATGTCTTCTCGCAAACGAATTTCACACTTAAACGTTGATAATGTTACCTCCCTTTACTTCGTAGGTTTGTTTTTTGTGTGAACTCTATTGTATATAAATTATGAATGAAACTTAACTACATCATTGACGTGAAGGGATAAAATGATTAATTCAATGTTTTGTGAAATTTCTCTTTGTGTTTCATTTTTTGTCTTCTGCAAGGTAAAGTATGTATTATGCATTTCTTTGTGTTTTATGGTGCATTTGTTTAATATTGGTTTTCGTTCATGTTTAATATTATTTATCGTATGTTGTTTACATAGATTTGAATTGTTTCTTTTCGAGTGTTCACCCGAAAAGAATCTGGTTGATGGGATGATATTTCCTAATCTAGATGTTGGCTTGATTTTTACAAAGACTATGCAATTTCCAAACAATTTCTAGGGTCATAGAGAAGGGATGATCTTGTTTTTATAGACATTTGCATCACAATTTTGTTTTGAAGGGAGGGGTGCGGTGCTTGAGGAGATCCAAGGTCAATTAGCAGGTTATGCAGCCGATTCCCTGAGCGTTGGGATGATTTTTTATGATATAGATGTAGACATCGAGTTCTACAAAGAGTTTGCAGCTGTAGTTTTCCCCATAATGATAGCGGGAATTACCCCTTAAATAAAAAGGATTTCATGATATGAATTAGTTTATTTAGTTGTATTGTTTAGTTATTTTTTCATGTATTGGTATGTAAAATGTAAACAAATTTGCAAAATGAATCTATTTTTACCTTGTATTCATTGTATTTATGTTTTGTACTATTTGTGCACACGTGGTTCACTAGATGCCATCCGTTTTTCGTATTACAGTGCACATTGAAATGCATTCTCAAATGCATTTATATGCATAATAGTTTCATCTATTTATTTAACGTACTCTACAAATGAGGACATTTATATCTTTTGTTATTTGTATCAAATAGTTATGAGTTATATCACGGTTTATGAAATTAGTGAATGCATTTCATAGTATGTAAGGTTGCATTCTATAGACCACCTCTTTGCATAATAAAGATAAATGTAGTAAGTCTCTTAGTTTGTAATGCACCTTATACATCACAATGGTGCATCGTCATATGCTATGCAATGCATAGTTCACTATCTCTTCCCAATGTGTTAATGTTGTTGAACTAAATTTATCCATCTAAACTCATATAACACTTAATTACATCTAAAATTTAGATGCTCATACACCACTTCAACAATAATAGACCGATAATGAAAAATGCTTTCAAACTTCATTCTCACAATATATTCACATGTCACAATGAAAAATATGCTCATATACATGCATACTTTTCCAAATTAAGAGTAACACTTTACCCACACAATAGTCCTATTTTATGTTATATATCTCAAACACAAGATGATGCATACTATTGTTCATTGCAGTGCATCATACAAGTTGTTAAGATGCAAGTAAACTCAAACCAAAACTTCCTTCAACCAAAACAAGTGTTTGTATTGCACATTCACAATACAAGCCGTCAACATAATACGATCTGTCATAAATGATGTTTCATTACTAATGTCATGTAAAAACTTCCATAGATGTCCACCCACACAATAAAACATGTCATAGTATTTTTGTCAAGTAAAATGTAAGCAAAAACACATCTTGTGTGAATCAGCTTCTCCTATGGTGCATTCAACCTCTCTGATTTATTTGTCCCACAAATTCTTACAGTTCTCCTTCTTTTCATGCTCAGTTCCACTCTTCCACTATCTTTTCTATGTATCTCAATGCCTGCATAGTTACCACAACATCATTGCATTACTATATAACAAATGCAATTTATGAAATTAAACTCCATAACAAATTAAACTTCAATCTGCTTTCATTTTTCTGTCCACCCACAAATGACTACTGCACTATAAACTTGTAATAATGGATTGCAATTATATTTGTCTTGCATTTTATAACAAAACTTTATGCATATACGAAGCTCAAATATACAAGTGAAATTATGTGTGGTTTCAATCATAACACTTGACTTTTAGTAAACACATACAACAACCAAAATATGCATAAGGTTCATTTGTCTTTCAATCAATGTTTAACCAATACTATGTGTTACATGCTACTTTAAATAAATGCATCTTCTATCATACACTCATGCATATATATTTTTCATAAACACAAGTCACATGCTTTAAAATCTTGCATATAATATCTTTTATTACTGCATCTTACATCTACATGTCCTCCACCTTCCATTCATTTGAAAATCCAATTCTTATTGCCAAAACCTTTGCATCTTACATCTAAAACTACTGCCTCTTTACATCTGTTCCAAAGTTTAATTCCAAGTACCAAAATCCCTGAATCTTACTGTTCGTACCCAATTTTGATAGATTTTGATGATGTCACTATACTTTGCACTAGTACATTGTGTCTAATTCAAGAATGGGTGTTCAAAAGTGACAAAATAAATGTACAATTTTTGAGACTAATAAAAATATGCTGGGTAGTTAAAATGCAATAAGCTAATATTTATTTACCTTAAATGGGATATTTAAATCCTACCAGTATAATTTTATTTTTACACAAAAATTATAGTCACAAAACAAATGATTCGAATGTCCTAAACCATTGTATGATTGAAAGACAAACCTTGACCGGTATTTAATACTAAATCAAGTACTGGGGGCCGCAGCATGAGATGCACTCATAGAAGATGCTTCAGCGGCCAAAATTATTGAAGACAAAGGAACCATCCCAATAAATGCTCTAGCACAAGAAGACGAATGTACAATCCGTCCTTTCCAGACCTTCAACGAACATGATTAATCCATCCTAACCAATGGATGAGATTAATCAACTGGAGTAGCCTATAAATATAGACTGAAACGAAAGTTTCTAACCAAGCTTGAGCATTCTAAATAGAGAAATATTTCATTAAGCATTCACGAGACATCTAGTAAAAGAGAAGGTGTGAATCTATATTTTACTCTCTGCTTAGACTCATGCTTCACTAAACTTCTTAGTTTCAAGTATTCATTGCTAAATCCTAGAAGTTTAGTTCCTAGTTGGAGGTTAGAACTTTCTTGTAATCAAATCACAAATTATTGTAAACACTCAGGAGAACAGTTGTTCGGATCCTACAATGTGTTTAGATAGATAGAGTAACTTTTGATCCCCACTGGATCATTTGAGAAAAGTCTAAGGACTGAGTAACTTTGAGTGGTGTTATACTCATTGTGAAAAACATTCAATCTAGGCCTAAGTGTTGTAAAGGCTAGATTGGCACTAAGTGTATTGGGCTTAATACTTTAGTGGAAATCCATCTGAAAGAGGGTGGGACTGGACGTAGGAGGATTACATCACCTCTGAACCAGGATCTACTGTGTGTTGATTTATTTTCAGTCAACAAAGCACACACCAAACACTTCTCACAAAAGATTGTAGTTTGCCAGCAGCATCCTAAGCAGTAGTCTTAATTGACCCTACTGCTTATCCTACTGCTTAATAACTCACTTTCTTTGAGATACAAGAGGCTTGTAACATCACCACAAAAAGGCCTATTCTATCAAATCTCTGAATATCATCTTAAGGCATAGCAGGTGCCTCAGCAGTCCCCTGGTGACTACCCAACTGCTGAGCCCACTGCTCATACAAACTTATTTCTCTTGAACATCTAAACTTCATCAGACCTTCACAACCATCTCACCAAGGAGTCTACTTAAAATGATCTCTCAAACCTAAGCTGAAACCCAGCAGGTGCCTCAGCAGTTCCCTCATTATCACTCGACTGTCGAGACCACTGCTCCAGTAAAACTCCCATTTACTTATACTTAAGCACATCTTCAGAAAGCCCTCATCACCCTGAGCAACACTATATAATCAATCTTCCCATACATTCACTTTCACTTAAGGAGGTGCCTCAGCAGTTCCCTGGTTACTACCCAACCGCTGAGACCACTGCTCTCATTAAGGTTGATTATCAATCCACCTCGTTACATCATCAGAGAGTTGTCCTCATTCTAATAAAGATTCTGCTTACACTTTCATCATACAATCAATATTTCCTCAGCAGTTGCCTCAGCAGCTCACTGCCATCCAGTCAACTGCCAAGCAAACTGCTCACTACATAAAGTCCAAACTTCATCCATCATAGAAAGTTGTCATACAATATTTGTATAAGAGGTTAAAGACTTCCGCTGTGCATCTATAAATCTCCCAGAAGATTATAGATCAACTCATCTAGAAGGGAAAAGTTTTTAAAGTTGAAAAAGCTTTAAAAGTCTATTCACCCCACCCCCCTCTAGACTTTTACCTCTATCTGGGACCATCACTTACATCTAAAAATACTGCATCTTAAAACCATATGAAAGTCATATTGCAAATACCAAAACCCTGCATCTTACATCTAAAACTCATGCATATTTTTTTTATTCCCTGCGTGTCAGTGCACCTATACATACATCTAATTGTGTTCCACCTACAGTTACAAGAATGCAATATTTCTCCTCAATATCAATTAAAACATTATCAAACCTCTATACAAAAAGCTACATTGCAATCCAAACCTGTAATCTGACAGTATTCATCCTAAAATTCTCAAAAGATGCATTTCAATGGTCGAATTAAATTAAACATGCATCCTAATTAATGTTTTTGAATCTATATTGAAAGAACCAGTGACTACAAACGAGAACCTTCATCAAGCTCATTTTGTATTTCACGCAACAGATGTTCCATCTGCACTCGTGTTCACACTGCCTTCTTCAGTTAAAAAACACTATCTGAAATCCTTGCTCTAGACTCAGAAAGGGTTGGCCAGTATGTTTTCAATCGACGGTCCTCTGCGACTTACCTTTTTTGCCGATGCTATTCGTGGACGATTAGCTTGTTACTGCATACTAATCAGAAAATTAGGGATTTCCACATTCAATACCGTTTTTTATGTTGACGGCTTAGTTTTTGTTTTGTTAAATGACCTTCGTGACCTTTTAGTTGACGCAAGCTCCCAGATTGGTTTTTCCTAGTTTTTATTCCATGCGTGTCAGTGCACCCTCTTAATAATGCATCCCATTCTCCAAGCCGTCCGTTTCCTCTAATCCATCGGCTGTCATTAGTTTGTAGTTTGCACCGGAAGCCTAGTTTATATGGGATCTACCCCCTATATTATATATATATAAGGGATCCCATGCAAACCATTCACCCAGTGCAAACTACAAACCAATTAACAGCCGTTGGATTAAAAAAACCGACATTTAATGCGTATGGGATGCACTATTGATATGGTGCACTCATACGCAACTGATAAAAATGGTTGACAACATTTAAATGTTTCGGTCAATTAGAAGGCCACAAAAGTAATTTCAAAAACCAAAACCAAAGCCGCCAAAATTAGAATCGTTTTTAATTTTGGAAATCCCTAATTGTGCGGTTAGAAGCAGTAACAAGGTAACCGGCCACTACTACGAACTACGAAAAAGGTACGTTGCAGAAGATAGAAATAGAGTGTGAAGTCGTCCGAAGTTTGTAGAAGGGGTTTGGGTGCTGTTTTTGGCGACGCTGAGTACACGAAGGCTTGGTGATTCAACATCTCAATGCTACGAATGACATCGCTGCAAATGGAACATCTATTGCGTGCAATTGAGAAAGAACTTGATGAAGGTACTCCTTTTCAGCCATTCCTTATTTGAATGGAGATGCAAATTCAATAATATGAATGCATGTGTGATTCGACAATTAAATGAATATTGATGTCAAATGTACGATGCATTAATTGTGA